GGGGGTCCCTATGGGTGGTGGTTCTTGCCATGCTTGTAGGGTCCATCTCTAGGACTCCACAGCCCGAGCCAAGGTGTTGCACCCAGCAGCTCCTGGTGTCACCTCCAGGTGAACAACAATGGGGTGATCTCCTTCAATGAGCCCGTCAGACAATACACCCCCGACCCCTTCCCTCTGGCCGACGGGAGCCCCTTTGTGGCTCCGTACTGGGCCGATGTGGACAACGTGCTGGGTGGGGACATCTTCTACCGCCAGAGCAGCGACCCGGCGCTGCTGAAGAACATCAGCCAGGACATCAGCCAGTACTTCCCCAAAAGCCCCTTCACTGCCATCTGGGCCCTGGTGGCCACCTGGGACCATGTGGCCTACTATGGCTCCACCTCTGAAAAGGTGAGGTCTCTGGTCCATGGGCGTGAAGGTCACTCAGTGGCTCTTGTTGTCCCACTTGGTGGCCTTGTTGACCGACCCATCTTTGACCTCCAGAACCACCCATGACCTTCATGACTCATCCTTGACCTCTGTGATCTTTCTCCATAGGGCAACACCTTCCAGGCTGTGCTGACCACAGACTCCAAGATGTTCTACATCATCCTCAACTACTGGGACATCCAGTGGACCACAGGGGCAGCAAGTGATGGGGACGCTGAAACAGGACTCGGGGGCACCCCAGCACATGTAGGTGGGGAGGGTAGAGGAGAAGGAGGAGGTCATCCCACTCCATGTTCTGAGGGTGATGATGAAGGTCAGGGATGGCCCATCCCATGTCCTGGGGATGAAGATGATCATGGTCATGATGAAGGTCCAGGATTGGCCCACAACATTTTGGGGGAGGTCAAGTTGTCCTGTCCCTTTTAGAGATGATGGTGATGAAGGTTGGAGGTTGGTCCATCCCAACTATTGGAGATTATAATGGTGATAGTGATATGATAATGTGATAATGATGATGAGGATGAGGATGAGGATGAGGATGAGGATGAGGATGATGATGGTGAAGACAGGAGTAGTCCACCCTTCTTCTGGAGATGATGATCATGATAGTGGTAGTCATGGATTGGTCCATATCATTTCTGGGTGATAGTAAATATGTTCACATCCTAAAATCATTTTGGGGGCCCACTACCCCTTTGGATGGGGTCAGCCCTCCTAGACTCCCCCCTCTATTTTCCAGGCAGGATTCAATAGTGGTGATGACACCAACTTCTACAACATTCCCGGATCCCAAACCGATGCCATCATCAACATCACCGCCACCTCCAAC